TAGCAAAAAGAAATCTTTTTATTCAGAATAACAAAGCTGAGACTATTTGAGTTATATGAATCACCTCTCAAAGGTTTATTGATTTATTTTGATTTTTCGAGACAGGGTCCTGGAACTCAGTTTGAAGAACAGGCTGGCCTCAAATTCACATAGATTCGCCTGACTCTGCCTCCTGAGTGCTGGGATTAAAGGCGTGCACCACCACTGCCCAGCTTAAAGAGGTTTGTTACAAAAACAAAAAACAACAACAAAAAACAAAAAACAAAAAAACAAACCAATTGGCTACTTGATACTTTCGGGGCCTAAGAATCCTACTCTTCCAGCTGTTAGGTTCTAAAGCTGTCTTGTAATTTTTATTTTTCAAAGATTTTATTTAGGCGCTGGAGAGTTGGTTGAGTTGTTAAGAGTGCAGAGGACCCAGGTTCTATTCCAGGCATCCACAGGGTAGTTCACAAATGTCTCTAGCTCCAGTCCTAAGGCACTCTCTTCTGGCCCCTTCATGTATGCAGCATATGTACACACACACGCAAACAAAACCTCCATACACATGAAACAATAAACCTTATTTTTACTTATGTGTGTTGGTGTGAGTGTACGACACATTGTGTGTGGGTGCCCAGAGACCAGAAGAGGGCTTCAGATCCCCTGGAATTACCTGATGTGGGTACAGGGAAGTAAACTTGGGTGTTGTGCAGAGGCAGGAAATGCTCTTAACTACTGAGTCATCTCTCCTGCTCCCCATTTTTGAAATATATTTTATTTAGAGAGAGAGAGAGAGAGAGACAGAGAGAGAGAGAGAGAGAGAGAGTGTGTGTGTGTACCATGGTGGACACTGGAGGAGGAGTCAGTTTTCTCCCTGTACCGTGTAGCTCCCAGGATCAAAGCCATTGTATGCTTTTCCCTGCCGAACCTTCTCACCTGTGCAGATTACAGACACTTAAAAGCATTTTATTTTACTTCCTGGCCAGAAATACACTAGGCATGATGGTCCAAACCTAGAATTCCTGGGATCACCATGTGTGAGGCTTACCTACACCAAACCAACCCCAAAACCAAGGGTGGTAAAACTCTCAAAAACGTTCCAATTAAGCTCCCAGTCACAATCCCTGCCGCATTACGACAGTGCTAACAAGATGGAGCGGCACACACGGATGTTGCAATCCCTCCAGACTCTGTCCTCGGCATCCTCAAATGTGCTGAGCTGGCGAGCTAATCAGTGACACAACAGCCCGTCCACCCCAACGCTGCGGACTGAACAGATCAGCACATTAGAGTTCTCTCTAGAGGACCTAGAATTTCTACAGTGTACGCACCACAAACTTCATGCACAAAAGCCTTTAGTTCCAAATGGTCGTCTTGCATTTCTTTTACTCCCTTTGATCAGAATGCAGGGTGGGAAGTCCAAACACCATGACGTTTCACCACCCCACAACCCTCCAAACTGGCACACTCTTGTTGCGTCTCTTCCCTGCACACAGCTTAACAAAGCAGTGACCTCACCAGTTCCAACTCAAGTAGAAATATTATACTATGTTTTCTTGTCTCTCTCTTGTATGTCTATGTGGTGTGTATGTGTGTGTTGCACGCAGCTTGACGAAAAAGTGACCTGATCAGTTCCAAGTTAATCAGAAATATTTTGCTATGTTTTCTTGATTCCCTCTATCTATGTTTGGAACGTGTGTGTATGTGTGTGTGTGTGTGTATACATGTTCTTGAGTTTTGGTGCATACGTGCCTGTGGAGGCCTGATGTTGACATCAGGAGTCTTTTTAACCTCTCTTCACCTTATATATTATACTGAGGCAGGGTCTCTCAGTTGAACCTGGAACCTGTGATTTGACTAGTCTATCTAATCAGCTGGCTCTGGGGATTCTCTGTCCCTGCCTCCCACCTGCAGTGGTCACAGGAGGGTCACCACACAGGGCTTGTGTGGGTGCTGCATGGGGATCAGACTCTCTGGTCTCTATGTAGAGCAGTTCTAAACAGAAAGAGGGAAGCCTACACCCGGGCTACTAGGCTTCAGGACAAATTTGGACTGATCGCTTCCTTATTTAAGCTTAAGAACTTGGGGTTACTATCATGTTCATTTAGGAGATAAAGAAGCAACTAAGACAAAGTCTCTCTGCAAGGCTACACAAGTAAAAAGAAGTCAAGTAAGAATTTAAATCCAAAGTCCAACTCTGTTCTCCCTGACAGAATCCAACTCTTCATTTTGAGACAGGGTTTATCTATGTAGCCCTGGCTGTCCTGGAACTCTCTCTGTAGACCACAGAGGCTGGCCTCGAACTCACAGAGATCTGCTTGCCTCCGCCTCCAGAGTGCTGGGATTAAAGGCGTGCGCCACCACCACTCGGCTAAAGTCTAACTCTTAATTCCAACTTTTCAATGTTTTCCCAGAAGGTCAGCCATAAACAATGAAACATATTAAGAGAATTTTTGTTGTTGTTGTTGTCTTTAATTCTTCTAAGCTGGGGACAACAAATGAAATTGGTCAGAATCAGCCCCGGAATTCATTACACTGTTTTCAAATTGTATTACATCACTCAGGGGGTGACCTTGGCAAATTAGTCAACTTATTGTATGTCAGCTCTTAATTAATATTAATTGTGCACATGGAACATTGTTAGGGCTAAGAAAGCATTAGTAGAAGTAGCAATTGTGGTTCTGACCCTTCTTATTGTATTAAGGATTAAAAAGATGACTTTCAGAAAACAAGTTTAAGAAACTATCCCTTTTTAAAAAAAATAGCGTGGGGAGTCACACATGTTCAGCAGGCTTTTCTACTGAGCTATTTCCACCCTCAGCCAGGAACACATGGAAAATTGTTATTATTATTTATGTGCATGTGTGTATGTGCACCATCTGTGTGGATACCCATGAAGGCTAAAACAGGGTGTTGCATCCCCTGGAGCTGGAGTTACAGATGGTTGTGAACAGACCCAGACCCATGTGGGTGCTGGGAACCAAACTTGGGTCCCTGGAAGAGCTCTTAACTGCTGAGTCATCTCTCCAGCCTCAGCCAGAAACACTTTTAACAAAAAGAGCAGCCCAAAGCTTTGAGCCAATTGCAGTACGTAAATAGAATTTTGCAACTTAGGGGCTGACCTTAACACTTTTTATTTGAGTTTTTTTTTTAATAGTTACTTTCTGTTGCACTGTTTCCTATTTATCCTGATAAAGTTTCCTTTTAAAATTAATTTAAGTGAAAGTGAGTCATTTCAAAGAAAATGTGTATAAAGTTATAAAACACCCAGCACATAGTTTGGGAGAAAAATAAAGCATTTCAATTGCAAGACTATTTTCCCCCAAACTGTGCATCCTGTATTCTTCTATCTCTGTGCCTTCACTTAACTAGTTCCTCCGGTAGGAATGCAAATCCTCAACAATTCAACTTTAAAGAGTCGAACTTCACAACACTGCCATAAACGGGATGTCCAACCTTTAAAATTTAACCTAAAGACCTTTCACAAGGAGTTTTCTAAATCTTTTTATTTTTCTCTGCTCCAAATAAGAGAATTGGTTTTCCTCCCTTTCATTTGGTCTCTCACACCGTCAAGTTTCATTTCCAACCCTATATAATAATAATAATAATAATGATAATGATAATGATGATGATGAGATGATGACTGTTCTTCCACACCTGAATGTTATTTCTCTTGATAGTGTGGTATTCAGGGAGCTAGGGTTTGAGTTCAAACCAAACTGTCAGACCTTGTGACCTTGAGCTAGTCAGCTAGCTTGACCTTGAGACAACTTGAAGAAGAAAAGGCGCCTGTCAAGTAGCATCCACGGACGCTTTCTTGTTGTCATATAGGTGAAGGTCTTTCACACCGGATCACTTCTTACACACTTTCCTATCAGTTAAGTACTTGGCACCACTACACATCTTCCACTTTCCAAATGCTGCAGCTGCAGAAAGGAAACCTGCAGCTCTGATTCACAGTGAAGAGACACTACATCAGAAACTACTCTTTCAAAAGGAAAATTGGCTCTGGACATACTTTAGTGAAGATTTAGGAAGGAATTAACGAGGGGGAAGTTTGCGAGAACACGTAAGATACGATCCAGGAATCTTTTAAAGCCGAGGCATCTTGAGAAAATAAGGTTTCAAGCTGGTCCCCAGGTTTTAAGAAGTGTGCAGTTCCCCACCTCAGAGCTAAGAACACTGAAACAGACCAGCAGGTTCCAGGTTAGTCTGAGCTGCATCCATAGAGGACCACATGGTGTAGGATACTTTATGGGGACACATCTTTAACAGGTAAACCCTACAGCGATGGGAGGTAAATAAGAGGTCATGCGGAACGAAAGCTTATTTCAGGAAGGATACAAAGGTTTCGAGAGTAGCAAGCGGTGATGGCTGGACAACTTCTGCGCACAGTGCAAGCCGCGAATTGTACCCATGAAAGGAAGAGAATTCCGACTAGTTTGTTATTTCTCAACAAAGTCGTTACGAAAACCCAAACTAGAAGCCACAAAGGCAAAAGCCGAGGGACTGGAGGTGTGTGGGTGGGTGATACCACTTCTAACCAGAGAAAGCGAGTTTAGGCAAGTTTGGCTCCAGAGTCAGGCAGCTCCAGACGGGGCCAAAGTCCCTGGAGGGCGAGCTTCTGGGCACACTAAGCCTCCCCTATTCCCTGAGGGGGATCTGGGTGCAATGTCCCCCTTCTGGACTCATTTTCCTCGCGTGTTATAAGGGGTCGGTTCTGAGACCTCCAGCGGCCGCAGTTCCAAATGGGTGACCCGTGCACACCCGGTCCTTGTGCTACCATGGGAATCATTACCTGTAGGCACCGATGGCCGCCGGGGCTTTTGCGGTGCTGATCACTTTTTTGATTATGGACGACATGCTAATCCTCTCACGAAGATCCTCCAGAAGGAGACTCTACAGCAACTCTTCTCACTCCTCTGACCAGACAACTCTAGGCACCAGGGTATTTGCCTCAGGTACCACCCCCGGGTGGGTTCGCAGGGCATGATGGGAATTGTAGTTCGCGGGCGGCTCCGGGACACGTGGAGGAAGCCGCCGTGCTGGCGCAGGCGTCCTCAGCTCGCTTGCTCACTCAGTCGCTGCGGTGGGAGCTTTCTGACCCGCGGAACCCTCAGAGAGTCTGGCAGGTTGGTGTTAGGAGCTGGTGCCTAGCGGGGTTCGTCAGCTCGTGGGGGCAGCGTGTGGGACCGCACGCCGGCCTGCAGTGGCGGGGTCGGCTCGGGGCATCTTTCTCATACCGAGGTCCATGCTGCCCGGGCAGGCCCTCTTCCAGTCCGGAGCCTCTGGCTGCTGCGCTCCATGGAGCTTTATGCTCGTCCTTGCCCTGCCAGGCAGAACCCACGCTGGGAATGCGCTTGCACCCCATTCTGGTTCCCTAAAGAGGCGGGGTGGCTCACTGAAGGGGAACCAAGCAGAGGTGTGGTCTGCCTTTCGTCATCCCCTGCCTCCTTTCACTGCAAGATCGCCTCAGGGCGACTGGGGTCCGGTGTCAGGGGCGTCAACTTCCTCTAGCTCAGGACTTCAGCGTTTTCCCACTCCCGACCCCGGTATATGAACTAGATGTACAAATCAGTTACCGATAATATATCATAAAGAAGTTTATTTTAAAGCAATTCTTTAGTGCATTTGGTGTAAATTTACCATTTATTAAAGATTTATTGAATTTATTTATTAAAGATAAAAGCCAATTTTGCACTTTCTGAAGTAGATGTGCCTGTTTATTCTTCCTTCCTTCCTTCCTTCCTTCCTTCCTTCCTTCCTTCCTTCCTTCTTCCTCTTTTTGTGGTGCCTGTCACTTAGGAAGCAAAGGCAAGCAGATCTCCGTAGGTATGAGGCTAGTAGCCAAGGTTACACAGAGAGACCCTGTTTCTCTACCCCTCAATAACTTTTTTTTTTTTTTTCCAGGGGGAGCGGGTTTCAAGACAGGGTTTCTCTGTGTAACAGCCCTAGCTGTCCTGGAACTCTCTCTGTAGACCAAACTGGCCTCGAACTCACAGAGATCCGCCTGCCTCTGCCTCCTGAGTGCTGGGATTAAAGGCGTGCGCCACCACCGCCCGGCAAACAAAACCGTTTTTAAGGATACTGGTTACCCAGATTGGAAAAGCAGCTTCAGTGTAGCTGTTAACACACGGAAACCCAATCCCACACCACTCTGCCTTCAGCATTCTTATCCAGTACTTACAGAGACCGTGAGAGTGGGTGCTGGTCTCTTGTTTTACAGAGAGAAGCTAGGCTTAGGGAGACAGTAAGTGGCCACGCAGGGGCTGGAACACAAACGCTGCCTCTAAATTCCGTAAAGGGTTCCGGGTGTCCTTTATCCCACAGTGGAGTGTGCATGCCGTCGTTGGCATGCCATCACTGCAGTGCTGGTCATTATGCCTCTGCTTTACTCTGTCCGTGGGAGAGTAGAGAAGAATCCAGGGCCTCTGCTTCATGTGCGTTTCTGTTGAGATGAGTTTTGGGTATGGACACCATTCGTGGCTTTCTCGGAACACCTGCTATAGATGGTAATCTTTTGGTGTCATCAGATTTTGAGCTATATAAATGTTTATTAAATATATTGTTTTTACCTTTGGTATTTATTAGTGTGGGGGCCTAGGGGTATGTCACAGTGAGCTTGTAGTTGTCAGAGGACAACTTTAAGGAGTAGACTCTCTCTTTGCATTGTGTAGGTCCCAGGGATTGAATGGAGGCCATCAGGTTCATCAGCAAGTCCCTTTACCTGCTGAGCCATCTTGTTGGCCAGCTTTAAAATTAAATCCTTTTGTTGTGTTTTGAAATAGGGTCTCAGGTAGGCAGGCTGGTCTCGTGCTGTGTGGCTAAGGATAACTCTTGAGCCTCCTGCCTCTGCCTCCCCAATGCTGATGTGAACAACAGTGTCTGGCAATTCATTGTTTTCAAAATAAGAGTTTTCTCTCCGTCTGTTAAGTGTATTGCTTCCTTTCCAGAAATGTCGAACGCAAAAGAAAGAAAACATGCTAAGAAAATGAGGAACCAGCCCACTAATGTGACTTTAGCCTCTGGCTTTAGGGCTGAAAGAGGTGGAAAGCACCATTTTGGAGCAGGGAGACCTTTTCAATCTCAAAAACAAGGTAAGATGAACACAGTGTCCTTTCTACTTTATTTTGAGTTAAATTGCTTTTTGCCAGTTTTGTTTGCTAGCCTTCATCTCAGAGGTAAACAATTTAGATTGATTTAAGGAGAGATACAGAAAAACTCTGTTAGTAGATCTTGCAAGTCTGTCTTCTCGTTAAAGTTCACCTGTAACCCCATGCTAAGGCAGAGCCATGCCGTCATCCCTGGGTGGGTAGAGGCCAGAGGAACTTTGGTTGGCCCAAGTGTTGGTTCCCAGCTGCTCTCCTCTCACGGCCAGAGGATGGAAAAGGACGGAGCAGTGCAAGGACCTCCAGCTCTGCCTGGGGTTTGACTCTCAGCTTTGGGGTCACCCCATGTGAGTCACTTAACAGTTGAATTTCATTCTGTTTTTTTTTTTTTTTGCAAAATGAAAGCAATAGAATCCACCAGTATGAATTGTTTCTAGACTTTAAAATTACAGCCTGGTAAGATGCTCAGTGGGTCAGGTGCTCAGTGGGTCAGTACTCCTCAGTGGGTCCAGTACTCAGTGGGTCAGGTGCTCAGTGGGTCAGTACTCAGTGGGAGATGCCCAGGCCACCCACTCCTGACCACCTGGGTACCATTCCCTGAACCCATGGTGGAAGGAGAGAACTGAGTTTTGAAAGTTGTCCTCTGACCTTAATTCATGTGCCATGTTTGAGTCCATGTGATAATGACACATAAAATTACAATGTGTTTGAGATTAAGTTCTCTGTTCCACTCAGAACACTATATATATATAATATATATATATATATATTATATATATATAGTGTGTGTGTGTGTGTGTGTGTGTGAGAGAGAGAGAGAGAGGGAGGGAGGGAGAGAGAGAGAGAGAGAGAGAGAGAGAGAGAGACATGAAGGGAAGCAAAGAGAAAGGGGAGGAAGAAGGGAGGACAGATAATTTTGTTGGAGTGGAGGTTTGCTGTTCACTGAGGGTTCACTTGACTTTTTAAGATAGACATATTGCCATAGTATGATTATGCATATTTTAGAGCTGATATGTTTGATTTAAGTTATACCCCTGTATTTCCTAAGAGAAAGTAACCAATGTGATAACTGGAGACCCTTGTGAAATGGTAGGGTGGAGGTGTCCACTGGACAGCTGTAGAGAAGGCCAGTTTGGAGAGGTTGTTTAAGGAGCAGGGTGCTTTAGACCTGATTGGTTGAACGTGAGATTTAAATTCTCTCTCTCTTTTAAAGATTTATTTATTATATATAGTGTTCTGCCTGCATGAATCTTTACACATCAGAAAAGGGCACTAGATCTCATTACAGATGGCCGTGAGCCACCATGTGGTTGCTGGGAATTGAGCTCAGGACCTCTGGAAGAGCAGTCAGTGCTCTTAACCTTGGAGCCATCTCTCCAGCCTCTAGATTTAAATTCTTAAGCTCTAGATTTGATTTAAAAATGGATCTTCTGCAACTTTGCTATGTGGTATAGCCTTCGCCAATATTATCTCATTTATAGCTCACAGTGACATACCTTGTAATGTGTTTTAAGGCTATAGAGGCCTAATTCACATCCCAATGGGATAGCCAGGAACCCTGGGCAGTTCTCCCTGACCTCTCCTGTCTGCAGATGTTTATACCATAGCAATTACAGGGCTTTGATTAATAATTCATGTTATGTTGGAAATCTCAAAGGAGAAAGTTTCCTTGTTTCTGTTGACCTGGCACATCAGTGTGATTACTGTTACACGTGTCAGTATGTCACACTGACACGATCATCGGCTGTATCTGTCCTTGTGTCTCACTGACATGAGTACCTGTTGTGCTGCCTAACTCAGTTTGTGACTTTGGGCTTGTTCTTGTGAAAGTCACCTTGCTACCCGAGATTCTTCTTAGAAGAAAAGATAGTGGGGGCTGAGAGTGTACAAGTGCTTGGTGGGTTAGCCTGGAGACCTGAGTTCAGTCCTTGGAACCTGTGCTCATGCATGAACGCATGCACACACCCACACCAACACACACGAGTATGGACAAATAATAAAAATTGTATGATGGTTGTAGGGTTAACAGGTTAATTCTCTATGGTTATCCTACCTCTCGTAACATACTTCTTTTGTTTTATTTTTAAAAACTTCCTAGAACTTCATTCTGGAACCTCACAGCAGTGGCAGAACAAGATGAGTCCCCACTTGCTCCCTGAGTCTGATGGGAATGAGCAATCTTCCTCCAAAATCATGTTTAAGAAAAAGGGAGGCTGGAAAGCGGGTCCTGAGGGCACGTCCCAGGAGATCCCCAAATACATAACCGGTAGGTGTGGGTAAGGAGGTTGAGCTCTTTGTTTCTAGAGCCAGCACGCTGCTGTCTGCTGCCCTGCCTGGCTCCCCCTCTCTGTTCTTACTACCACTGCTGACCTCTAGCCTGAGCGCCCACCATTGCATCCTTAGGCTGGTGTTCTCTCTTCAGATTCTCTCTGAGTCCTCTCATCAGTCTGTTTGTAAGCTCTTCCCCTAACTTCCTTCTCCCTCTCCCTCTGAAAGTACCGCAGAGGCTGTAGAAGCCGAGATTGAAAGCCTGGCCTCCAGGTTCACCTCACCTCCGTCCCCACCGTCACCTACACTCTGTGTTCCTTGAATATGACTTAGGTGTGCTTTCTGATATCTCTGTTTCTAGATGAATTTGTTTGTTTCACTAGCACCAGTTTACAGAAAGAGATACGTTCAGAAAGAGAAGCTTGACACTGATTCTGTTTTCAGCAAAAAAAACCAATAATAATTATTACAGGTTTTGAAAAAGCAGAAAGTGATGACCCCCTTGAAATCAAGCTCTTAATAGAGATTTCCCCTTTGTTTTTTCATTTGTGAGCATTGCGATTAAAAAATGGTTGTGATTAGGGGTTGGGACACTTGTGTGTGAAAAGCTGGGCATGGTTGACCCCAGGAGCTGCCTGGCCAGTCCAGTCCAACCAGACCAGTGAGATTCAGGTTCAGCTGGAGACCAGAGAGTGACAGGAACACACAGATGTCTTCCTCTGGCCCCTGCACATATGAATCTGGGTGCATGTAGCCGTGTGCACACAGCACAGGGCACAGTTACAGAGATAGGAAGCACAGGTTGTGATTCTGTGCCATGACTGTACAGTGCTTACAGGCTCTGTTCTTCACAACTCCAAAGTTGGCTAACCTTATTTACGGACTACAATATTTAGGAAGATAGAAATTTTTCCTAGCTTGAAAATGGAATTCTTTTAGAAAACTTGGTAAAGTGTCAGCCTTGAAGAATCTTCTCCAGGGACTAGAACACAGAAATGACCAGTATTGGTGCTTACTCGTGGGAGTCGTGGTGTCTGGCTTGTAAGCGCTCGATTCAGATCTGATCCTGCTGAAACCTGGCAGTGACCTTGGCGTTTCCCTTACAGCCTCTACTTTTGCCCAAGCACGCGCTGCTGAAATCAGTGCTATGTTAAAAGCTGTGGCCCAGAAGTCATCGAATTCGCTGGTTTTTCAGACTCTTCCAAGGCACATGAGGCGAAGAGCCATGAGCCACAATGTCAAACGCCTTCCTCGACGGTTGCAGGAGTTGGCCAAAAAAGAGGTAGGCATCCACTTAGTGTTAACGTTTAGGTTGGTAGTTCCCAGAAGGGTTCACAAGTGTTGGCCCGGAAGAATTTTAAGGAAATCAACACACCTACTGTGCCATTCTTTTTGTTTCTTTGCTTGAATATTTTTGTTTTGATCATTATCTAGCCCTGTCCACCTTCTCTGGCTACTTTAGCAGGTAGTTAGATATTATAGCTGCTCTTAGTAGTCCTTTAATCCCAAGGCTCAGGAGGCAGAGGCAAGGGGAGCTCTCTGAGTGTGAGACCAGCCTGGTCTATGTAGTGATTTTTCAGGCCAGCCAGGGATACATAGTGAGACCCATTCCCACTCTAAAACAAGAGTTTAAATTATAGCATTTGGAACCCCTCTGTCCTCCCTCCTTCCTTCTCTCCCTTCTTTTTTTTTTTTTTTTTTTTTTTGAGGCAGGGTCTCACATAGCACAGGCTGGTCTTAAATGTGATCCGTAGCTAAAAAACCGATCCTCTTACCTTTACCTCCCTAGTGCTGGGATTGCAGTTTGAACTTGGTTTTAGTCTTTTTATACAGATCTAATTATGTTTGGGCTTTACTCTAAAGTTGGCTAAGCTACCCTTCTTTACTTTATGCATCAAGATGTGTTTATCAAATGCCTACAGTGTGTTGGTACTGTGCTGGGAGCGGGTTAGACTCCAGCAAGTTGAAATTCTTACCTTTCAAGGGGTAAACTATAAAGAGTTTATTTTCAAAGAAGTTTAGCTTAACAATAAAAGAGATTTAAGTGTGAAAACTAACCAGGAATTTTGCACTTATCAATCAAATGTGAGGTTTGTTTCTTAGCAAAATGTAGCGTGTTTAAATGAGTGAATTGGTGTTTCCATTTCTGTATTTCTTATGTAAAAGTTAAAGAAGCTAGTGTTTGATTAATCTTGCTGTCTGCTAATAGCCACATGAAGCTTGTGCTAGTATGTTGAACATTTTTTTACATTTGTTTCCTTTGTCCTACGTGTATGAAAGTTTTCCTGTGTGCATGTATGTGTATTATGTATTTGTCTGATGCCCAGACAATCAGAGAAGGGCACCAGAAATTACAGGTGGTTGTGAGCAACCATGTGGGTGCTGGGAATTGAACCTGGGTCTTTTGCAAGAACAACGTGCTGTAAACCACTGAGCCATCTCTCCAGCCTTGTGTGTTGAAATTTTATAAGTATTGTATCTTCATAAAAGATGAGGATTGCCTATTAGCAAGTGTTAGAACTTTGCTTCCTTTTTCCTGCCTCTGAAATCTTCACTTTCCATTGTCTCCCTCTCTGACCAGTGTGAGGAAGACTCCAAACCAACCAGTTAAGCAAAGTGGCCTGCCAGGTCTCCACCCCATGTGTCATAGACGTTTGAACTCTAACGTTCAGCTGTGGCCTGAGGTGCTCACCAACAGGGTCAGCCTTTCTTCTTTAAACTGTAGGCAGAGAAAGCTGCTCATCAGAAAAAGGAGCTTTCAAAAAATAAATGCCACAAAGCCCGAAGATGTCACATAAACCGGACGCTGGAATTTAACCGTAGACAGAAGAAGAACATATGGTTGGAGACTCACATCTGGCATGCCAAACGCTTTCACATGGTGAAGAGGTGGGGCTACTGCCTCGGGGAGAGGCCCACGTCCAAGAGCCACCGGGCCAGCTACCGCGCCATGACGAACCTCTGCCTCCTTCAGGTGTGCTTTGCTGCAGGACCGGGAGCCTTCCCAGAACTTGCTTTTGGTTGTTCCAAAGAATATCATTGTGATAAGTCTTTTCTGTGCGGACTGGGACACGGCTGTGCTGGAGATGAAGCAGCCTTAGTGGGAGAGGTGGACATCTAAGGGACGTGTGCCTTTCTTTGTTTTTGAGACAGGGTCTCATATAGTCAATACTGGACTAGGGCCGTCTATATCCAGCCGGTTTTCAGTGCTTTCTGTGTGTTCCATCATTCAGTCCTTACAACCACAGCATGAGGTAGGAAGTTTCTGTTCATAGACGAGGTCTGGGTAACTCACCATACAGCTTCTGAGCTGGGAGTCTGGTTGTACAAATTTGGGCGAGGTCCATATGGTCACGGATAACTGAGAGGGCGCCGTTGTTGGCAGGAAGGTTTCTAGGCCAGTGATGGTAGAGATTGCTCGGGATCTGTCTAAAGCACAGCTCTAATTCTGTCTTTTGGTTCTGATTGCTGAGTAAACTGGGCTTGTTTCAAGCTTCCGTGGTTAGGGTTGGTCTGGGTGTCAGTGGTCCTGGCATGAATGCTGCTTCTGTTGAACCATGTAGTGTTGCACAAATAGCCATCTCGGTGCCTTGGTGCCCTCTCCTGCAATGCAAGGGACGGTAGGACCGGTTGTGAGGTTGTAGGGAAGGCTGTAGCTGTTGCCACAGTTCTTCAGGGTTCTTCATCCTATCTACAGTAGCAAGATTGTTCTCTTGATTTCCTTGTGTGTTAGTCAGACGGGCATAGCCAGGACAGCATAGGAGGGAGACAGGACAAGTTCACTGCTTATGTCAGAGTTCTGCCGTGTGCTGTTCAAGTCAGGGACTGCCTGACTAAAGCTCACTTTGTGAAATTCTCTGTCTTGCTCCTTTCCTATGGCTTCTTACCTTGCATCGATCTGAGGAAAGAACAATACTTTATTTAGAAGCAGCAGTTTTTACAGCCCATTTTGGACTAGCCAATGTGAGTGGGATAAAATAAAATATGCTTGCTAAAATGTAGGACTCTGTATGTTATGAATTAAATGAAGATTCATTTTGACCTTTGACTCAGATTGGCTTCAGAATATCTGCTAATGTATAGTAGTAGGCAGGCTGTAGATTTTGAGTTGTGGAAGCGGTTTTGGGTGGTTTGATCTGTGTCTTAGAACAGGTTTTCTTTTTTGCCAATGGTGTTAGATCAGATCCCCTTAGAAGCTGGAGTTATGCAGTTGTAAAGCCACCCAAAGCGGGTACTGAACTTGAACTTGAGTCCCCTGCAAGAGCAGTACATGCTTTTAACCTCCTGTGCCTCTCAGCAGGTTTTCTGATATAGCATTGACTTCTTAGCATTTTTTTTAAAGCCTTGTAAACAGATCATAGCATATTTAATTATGTTTTTTCTTTGTTCAGGACTTATCGTATTACTGCTGTTTGGAGTTGAAGGGCAAAGAGGAGGAAATACTGAGGGCACTTTCTCAGATGTGTAGCACAGACACAGGTAATCGCTTCCAAAGCTGGGCACTGTTTTAATCTTCGTGTGTTTATAAATTTGTTGAATGGATGTCTACTGTAACATTTCATAGCTTTAATATGACAATGTGTGAGATATTCTTACTCCCAGTGTGTGTGTTAACGTAAGAAAGGTTGAGTTGATATTTAAATCTCTAATAGCATTTTTTGTGTAAAGTGAGCCATTATTCTGTGGAGTGAACTTAGGTGGAAACAACTTGAAACTCATGAAGTCATTCATTCAACAAATCTTTTTGGATAGCTCTCTGTGTGCCTGGTTCTCTTTTAAGCTGTGACTTAAATAAAGGAACTAAAGCTTCTTGTGGAGACCAACAGTGGTTAATAGTATGGCTCTCAGGAAACAAGGCTTCTTGTGAGCCCTTGAAGTCAGGGTGTTTTGCTTGTGTTTGTTGCAGGACTGACCTTCGCTGCAGTTCACTGCTTGTCTGGAAAGCGACAAGGGAGTCTCGTGCTTTACCGGGCAAATACGTATCCCCGAGAAACGCTGGGGCCTGTCACGTTTCTCTGGAAGCCTAGGAAGACCACGGGGGATACGTCTGAGGATAGGCAGCTGTGGATCTGGCTTCACCCGACCCTTAAGCTGGTATATCTTTCTGTCGCATTCTGTGTATTTATTATACAATGTGTGGGTGTAGACGTGGAGGCCAGAGGACGGCGTGTGTGAATCCGCTCTTCCACCGTGTGGGGACCGGGGATCAAAGTCGTGTCTTCAGAATGGTGGCAGTCCCGTTTACCTGCGGAGCCGTCTCTCCTGCCCACTGTTCCATTCTTAACTACCACCGGAAGACGATCTTTTAGAAATTTCAGTGGTATAAAAGTTTGACTGTCAGTTTGGTATGATATTTTTATTAATGAGTCAATTAAATTTTGTTTCCTTCCTTCTGTCCTTTCTTCCTTTTTTTTTTTTGAGACTCACCCTGTGTAGCACTGACTGTCCTGCATCTGCCATGTAGACCAAACTGGCCTCAGACTTGCAGTAATCTGTCTGTGTCTGTCTCCCAAGTGCTGGGGTTAAAGTCATGTGCTACCATACCTGGCTGATACTTCTTTATTTAAAAAAATTCTTTTTATCTAAAACTGTTGAACAAAGAATGGCTATGTTTACCTTGAATATGGTGTATGTATATATATATATATACATATACATGTATGTATGTATATAAAATGTAATGATTGCCACAATGAATATACCCTTCTCCACCAATTCAATTTGTAACACTGCATTTAACTTAAACACACACACACACACACGTTTTTAATTTTAATTTTAAATTTTTATTTATTTATTTTTCTCAAGACAGGGCTTTTCTGTAGCTTTGGAGCCTGTCCCGGAACTTGCCCTGTAGCCCAGGATGGTGTCAAATTCACAGAGATCCGCCTGCTTCTGCCTCTTGAGTGCTGGGATTAAAAG